GACCCCAGGTTCCGTGCCAAGGTAGAGGACCATCATGTGGTGGAAATGGTGGATCAGGTAGAACAAAAGGATGGTCGTGTGCACCATAATCATGCACAGACTCTTCCATGGCAAACTTCAGAATTCTGTAAACCTGAAAAATGTTGAATCGCTTTCTAATTTCTTAGCCAAAGCAAATCAAAGAATCCTAATCTTTGGTGGCTCTAAAGCCACAGTTCAACATAGAAGCCTTCTCACCACTGGATTTTTGGCCTTCAACTCGTGTATGGTCTTCATCATTTCTAGGAACGTCTGTTTTTTGTTCCCTATTATTTTGGTCAGATGTGCGACAGCTTTTGGCAATTCATTGATCAGCATCGTGAATTTCCGCGTCATTTCTTCCATGTGCTGCGCCTTCTTAGTGAAGAAAGCGAGTGCTTGTCTCTAAAATACCGCACCGTTTTCTCGAATTTTGAGAGCAGGGCTATTCACATACCTCAACGTGATGTTTCTTTGCCCAGGCAATGATCCGCTTCTCCTGCTGAGCCATTGTCAATGATTTGTTGAAAAGGATTTTATAGTACTCGTCTCGAGCAGTCCGTCTGAGACCCTTCAGGAATGGTGGATGGAAAATCTCTTCCCATGCATGAGCCGCTGTAGCAGCAAAGAGGAGGAGTATAAGTAGTTTCATCCTGTAAGACTAGTTTTTATAATAGGATAATGTAGTGGGATTGAGGAAGAAAAGACGATTAAGCAAGAGGAAGGGTAGAGATTAGCGCTCCAGAGGGTGAGTAAATAGCTAAAAATCCAGCGCAATGCACCGCTTGCCACCCCTTCATCCGCTTCCCTTATATTCCCGATATCGGTAATACGTGACATATAGAAACAATATCTATGGATTGGGTGACGTTACGCAAATATGGGTTCTTTTGGAACCATTGTTCCTCGTATGGGGCATTGTTTTCATAAAATATGGACCAAAAATTCAAACTACCTCTCAGAATTGGTCACTTTTCGGCCGTTATCTCGAAAAAAAGCAAGGCTATGGCAGGCTGTCCACAATAACTGAGCCTCTCGTAAACGTTTAGCCTCTTGCCAACAGCGGCTCAGATCTGCCCCCGAAGCAGAGAAGCTGTAGTAGTAAGTTTTTTTGGAACCATTGTTCCTCGTATGGGGCCATTGTTTTCATAAAATATGGACCAAAAAATTGAAACTGCTGAGAATTGGTCATTTCAGCCGTTTTCTCGAAAAAAGCAAGGATATGGCAGGCTGTCCCCCCAACGGCTGAGCCTCTCGTAAAGTTGTACTGCCAACAACGGCTCAGATCTGCCCCAGGCAGAGAAGCCTGTAAAGATGTGCGACCTGAGCATCTGGCGTGCGCGGTAGAGAAGAGCGGTCGAGAAAGAAAGAAAGATAAAAGAAAGACCACGAAAAATTGCATGGGTACACAGTCATCATCACTTCATTGTCCTCATTTCAGAAAGCCTTTTTAGGAACACTTGGAAGGGATATGAAATCCTCCGCACTCATTTGTTAACACCTCGGATAGCCTGCCGCGAGCATAACGACATCGCTATAAGCATAAAATAATATTATTTACGACCATGTCCATGTTCGACTCTCAGTCAATCTTGGCATTGCGAGAGTTACTTTCAGCGAGGTCTTCTTGAGCCGCAACCAAGATATTATGAAGCGTTTTACTCGGCTAACGTTTCGGCCGTATCGCCGTCGTCGGGAGCCTGGAAGCAATATTATTTTAGCGACCCTCCAGCAGGGATAGCCGAGTGGTTAAGAGGTTAGACTCATGTCTGCACCTCTGAAAAACCGCGAGTTCGATCCCTGCCGAGGCTCGAAACCATGCCCTGCAAAAATTGCAAAAATGGTTCTAGTACCAGCGTCAGGCCCAGGTTGACAGGCCGGCTGATGAATACCCCAGTCACACCAACCATGTATAAAAGTTGTCAAGGAATCAGTGATTCTTTGTGACCTCCGAGAGGAATAGCATGTACCTCAGGCTACGTCTGTAGAAGCGCTCTTGAAAAACCCTTCTAGGACCAAAATTACTCACACCGCCTGTCATAAACGCAATGATTGCAAGGATTATTTCCTAAAACCTCTTTTCAAATAACTGGGATTCCCTTTGCTTGTAAATTGTAAACTGCGTTGCAGGCATTACCGACAGCTGGTAAAAATTTGGATAAATAATGATGCAGGATCTGTAAGCATTGCAATGCATCTGCAGTCAACTGCATGGCGCACTCCGAACAGGTTGGCCTGTGTTCCGCTAATAATCGCTATTAACACGTATTGATCTTGGAAACTGTTTTCCCCGAATGACGAACTGATTGATTCACCTGGTTTCCCTCCTTGCTGACGCATGGGTGACAAAGACAGGCAAAAACGTGCCGCTGATTATTTCATAACATATTTACATGTGGTCGTTTTGTGGATCTTCTTCCATTGTTTCAGCGTTGCGGAGCATGAAGGTTTCAAAATATTTGCAAAGGGTCAAATGATATCATATACGTGACATCATATTAGTTCGAAACCTTACTGGTCATGCAGGCTTTCACTTGATTTAAGCGCCTCTAATCGTTAATCGACTCATATGGATCGCCGTATTTTATGCAGAGCAGTGCCCAAAGGAACCGTTCTTAACACATTGACGACATTGAGACGCGGTAACGCGTCTCACTTTGCGCACCTCGTTGGACATTGAGACGCGGTACCGCGTCTCACCCTTGTCATCCCTTTTTCTAGCGCATGCGGGGATTCTTCCCAATTTGCTTGTCTCTATTCTATGGATTACAACATAACATAACTGTAAACGACATGGGTCACGGTATGATCAAATATGCTCCAGTTTAGCAGAAGTTTTTAAGCACAGCGGAATTGGCAGCTCGGTTCATTCCTCGTTTTCTTCCTATTCTCATGAACATGTCAGTGAGAAAGGGTAGTGAAAGTAAATACAAACTTAAAGGGATAGAAAGATATATGTTTCACTTGACACATCCACATCGAAAATAGCTTTGACATCCACTATCCGATTTCCTCTACCATTTCACGTTTTTTGATCGAATTTCGCTACTATATCTTCGATTACTTTCTACGCATTGAATATTGCTGAAATGGTTTCGTACCTTTGAAGCTTCCCAAGGTTATCGTTCGAAATTTACGGGTGTGAGGTGTGACGGCCGCGCTCGCAAAAGCGCCCTTGTCCCACGCGGTGCAAAAACCCAAAACGCGCGATGTCGTCAACGTGTGAAAGGAAAAGTGATAGGTTTTAGACGGTTTTAGAGAAGTATGGAGTGATTTATGGAACGCCTATGGCAGATTAAACCGCCAAGAAGCGAGAAGCCCTAGTCAGGGGCCCAAGGAAACGAAATGTTGCGTTTTTGTGGTCAAAGGTGCGCTAGTTGCAGCGTACAGGGCTTGCCATTCCTTTCTGAGCTCCGCCACGGTCTGTGCTCCGCCCCCAGCAGCAGCGTCCTTCGATTATCATTTTGATGAAAGAAAGAGAGAGAAACTGCACCGCTACATAGGAATGCCTGCAAAGAGAGACAAACAGAATTGCCTCACCGAGCTATTTTGAATCGGAATTTTTGTGAAAAAAATCTTGCAATCTGTACAAATTTTTGACTGAAATCGAGACAACACTGACATTTTGCTGTAGAATAAGAACATAGAATCCCTTCACCATAAAAACGACTTGGGCTGTTCTCGAAAACAAAACGACGGTGATCTGGAAGAGCACAACGACTGGCCTATGATCGGAAAGGAGTTTTGCTTCTATCCTCAAGGAGAAGCGGCTAAGGGGACC